CGTTAGAGCTATATGAACAAAATCGGAAAGTGCATCAAACAGTTGCCTTTTTCGTTTTTTCCTCCTTTCCTTTCGTGTTTTCAAATAAGCTCATATCAACTTGAACTATTTCAACTATTGTGTCGGACCTCAATATCAATATATAATATTGGTTTTAAGGGGCTTACATGCATTTCGATCATCCTCCATCTCCTAGATTTAGGCATTCTATGCCAAAAACAGTTTGTACAATGTAATTGTGGTAGACTGATGACATACTTACTAATCAATAAGGAAAACGATGTCTTTAGGCGGCGACTCAGCGTTAACAAACCACGGTCGAAATTTCGGATCAAACAAATCGATGGTGATTGGAGCGGGTTCAATCCTCCAATATCGTCCTGTAACTCAGAATTCTTCTGATCCGAAAATTTTTTCCTAAATGAAGTGCTCACTGGGATACATTCTGGTCACACCACTGTAGGTGCCAATAAATTGATGCCTCATCGTCTCATCTTCCCTGAAAGAACAGACTATAAAAGAATTTAATGACTTTAGAAGAACTATAGTACTGTTTGTTCTCTGCCATAGTTTTCTCCACACTTTCAGCACCAGTCCAACTGAAATCGCGGATGACCTTAGAATCTAAAGAAATTGTAAGTTTGGAACATGCCCCTACTTCACAAGTTTTTTTGAGGGTTGCTATGCTAACCTCTATGAAAATATCAAAACATACCACATCGGTAGGACTCTATATTAACATGGACTCCTGAATTCCTAGCCGCAAAGTTAGATGCTTCTCGCACATCTGATTCGTTAAGTAGCTGTTCAAACTTTGCACAAACCGATTCATCTTGTGGAATGTTAAACTGAAAATTGATTGATCTCCATTTTAAAAATTCTTCTTCTTATGTACGACACTACATATGCTGTACAAAGAAAGTTTATCCGGATATCGATTGGAACAATTTATGTTCAAGAACAGCAGTAAGGTAATGGTTTCAAATTATACAGTAATAATTGTTAAAAACCTTATTAAAAAAACCACTAAAAAATGAAAC